CGAGTAATTATTGTTTACACATTAGAGATAACACGTAAACGTAAGCGATAGAACCGGACACGCACGTTCACGTACACGTGAGCTTTTGTACATTCAGACACAATGGCTGAGCTGAACACTCGTTATGTATTATTAGATCGGAAGGGTAATCATTGAATATTTTCCAATGACATCTTGCAAATTAATTATTTTTAATTAGAGTAGTTAGAGTTTCTTTAATTTTTACTTGTATTATCAATTGGCCTTTATTACTCATTATCAACGATGGGCTTTAACGTATGCCCTAATGCTGTGCATAACACATGACACGTCAGACACGTGCATAAAGATAAGCATGTGAAACAGCGTTTCGAGATTTTGGAGCTCAGCTCAGATAGCAACGTTATAACACGTCCAGACTGACGCGCCGCGTTATAATAATTTTATCGCAGACGAACATTTAGGGGTGAAACCTCTGCAGGCGTGGTGCGGTGCAGCTGTACTGTACTATTGAAATACGGGTATTCTGCGAGGATTACGTTATAACATAGGGGATGATAGTTGAAGCGGCGATGGAAGTTCTGTTATATAATGAGCTCTTTCGGTTTATTTAGTAGGATGTTCCGGGAGAATAATACCTTGTGCGCTCCTGGATGATGGTTACAGATACGCTGTTGAGATAAAGGAGGTAACATTGTTTATAAAAATTATGTGAAAAGGTAATGAAATTATTCGTTTTTTATTTGCGACATGAAATTCGACATTCATTAATTCTATTATCCATAAAAAGTTACCAGATGAATACATGAGACGAACGTTCCAATAAATCTCATTTTGTCACGACAATATCTCCCGATTCCGTTTCTCTCCGACGAATAAAAAACACGAAGAAAGAGCGAAAGTAATCGTACAGTTTTCCAATTTATCGTCGTAGGAGGATCGACTAGGGCTCGGGCGATCGCGTCTTGTAACAATACGTCTTCCGCCGATGCTTGTTCCGGCTTGAAAAATGCGATTTGGACCGATTCACGAAACGAGATTAATGGTTCCGCGAGGATGTTCCCTGTCGCCGAAGTGGCTCCGGTAGCTCCGAACGAAAGAGGACACGAAAACGAGAGACCGTTGATCAGTTTATCGACGAAAAGCGTTCGCAATTACCGACGAGCGCAACGATGCCGTGGACCAAATTAATTTAATAATTTAATTTGAGGCAATGATAATGAATATACGTACTACCTGAAATCGCTGTCTCCGAACTTTGTCATGCTTGCCGTACTCGAAACTTTCACTTACTGTATTGACCACACTTAAGAACTTTCTCACGCCACGTGCACACACGTATGCTACCCGACCTCTTCAACTCTCCTACGCACGGCGAAGTCTAGATTTGTAAAGTTTACTCGACTGCTGCATATGAAGTGCCATCGAATTTGAATTGCAAAATTATCCATGATTATGCATGTTCGCGTCTTCACCTCGCATATTTAATTTCGTACTACTCGGTCAAGCGTTGAACTCTATGATTTTGCAAATGAGATTCTAAATACGATCTAACAGCGCCGCGGTTTCACCGTTTCTCGTCGATAGAACCGATGATAAAGGGGGCGAAACTCGAAGACGTTGGCCCAGTCCTAACGCAATTTCTAAGCTTCACGTTTCTCTCTCTTTACGCCGTTCCTATCAGCGACCGGAACACGTGGCAGCGGCCGACCGTTCCCTGTGATTTACGGCTACTGCCGCGCAAACTCGATTATAATGACGCAGTAACACGCCGCCGCTCCGCGCCGAATTATTATACGCGGAACCGGCGAGCGTGGCCTGGCTTTCATTAAACGATAATCATCTTCCGTCCACTTGTCGGAACGACCGGAAACTGCTGGGGACAATGCGCCTTTCCCGCATTGTCTGCCTCTACGCCTCCTTTATCGCGATCCAAACACTTTTCCCGTGCAAAGAACGCGACCGTGGACGCTAGGAAAAAAGTTGGCGCCGCTTCAACGCTGGCAGAGAGCGCGGAATTTGTTTCGGAATTTAATTAAAAGGAAGAATCAGAGTCTCCGTTACGATGCCGCCGGAATTGGGGTGACACCGTAAGTAGTTGTGATTCAGTGTATGTACGGTCGTACAGAAAAAGTTCTTTTTAATCCTTTGTTCAGATTGAAAGAAACAACCAGTGCCAGCAGTTATATTCGTTTCCGTAGTAAATGCCCCAATTTCTGTTCGCGTCGCAATCCTTACTTACTAACTTCTTTCTTATGTATACGTTACGTAATCTCGAGTCAGTGAGTGGACGTTGTGACAAGAAATTATGACATTTGTTATATTTAACGATATTTCGAAATCGGATTTACTTGCTGAAACTTCTGCACTTTTTAAGTTTCGATCTATCTTCGAACTTTCGCAATTTGCATTGCGACTAAGAATGAGCCGGAATCCGGTTTCGAACCGGGGCTGATGAATCCTCCCGATAATTAGATTCTATTTAGAAGTTCTTCCTGCGGAGATCAAATAATGACGGACGAGGGAGTTCAACAGGATCTTCGAGGAGAGGATCATATAAAGGGACAATGCGCGGGACGGAGGTAACCCTTCCGGCTGCAATCTTGATTATTCATCGCGCCACTGGCCCGCCGACGATCACTCTTCTGTTTGCACTTATAATCACTGTTTGTGGAGCATTGTTCTTAAGCCTGGCCCCCGAAATGGCACCCCAGTTGATAAGTTGCGCGGAATCATCCTGAAAAGTCTCCCCATTTCGTATCCTCGCGTCGACCTCCGGGTAGAACTACCTAATGAAGGAGGTTACGGGGTTACTTCCGAATCCCGTGAATTATTACGCAATCCCCGTAGAAAGAAATAAGATCCTCCACCCTATTTGTTAAAATTCACCAGCACGCTTCATGAGACTCTTAATCAGCGAAAGTCGTAACGTTCAAAAATTTACAGCAATGATTCCCCTCTTGAAATTATTATGTCATGATATCGTGATTTATGTAGAGAATTTAGGGACAACCTACGACGTTAGAAATACATATCTGTCTTATTTCGGAAAAGCAACCAGAAACGATAACAGGACGCGAGGCGAAAAGTTGTCACCCTCGTACTGTGGACTTTAATGAAAGCGGATGGTTTATCCTGCGCTCTTGTTAAAGGCCGATCGGACACTTCAATCTTACCGAAGATCATTTTCATAATCGTTTCGGAAGCACATTAAGAGTTAAGGTAAACTGGGAACTTTAACGAGCGGACTTTTAAGCCGATTAACATCCTCCGAACTCCGCGAGTATATACAGCCCGTGAGGTCTGAACAAGCAAGTTCGACCGGGACAATCAGCTTATGCGCGGAGTTTCTTTTCATTATCCGATGGGTACACAAAGGAATCCACGATGAGACGACGCCGAGGAGGAACCGGCGATAAGAATATCTACTGGCTATTTTATACCGAGGAAGAGTCGAATCAGTTCTCCCTTTGCTGGGTTTCTTAAAAAAAAAAATTCAATTTGACAACAAGATCGTGCAAGTCCTTCGTGACACGTCGCAGGCGTTCAGGCGAGAATTCACGGACGAGAAACTTTCATCGTAGCCGTCTTCTCCTGGAAAGCAATTTTTCCGCTGAAAAATGAGTCGCGCAGGAGGAGAGTAGTCAACCGTGCGACCGAGTAATTACCAATTAATCTTCATTAATTAAAGCCTTCCGCGGTCCTGCAGATGCTCCGGCGATAGAAAACAATTGGACAGCGGCCCTGGAAAAGGCGACGCGTAGTTTGAAAGTTAGTTCGCGAACAGCCAGGAGGAAGCATAGCTCGGCGAAGAGGAGCGGAGCGTAAAAGGGTGTTGCCAGGCGTGTCGAAGCAGGGCCCTCCGGTTCGCCTCCCCCGAAAAGCTTAAATCGGCTTCATATCTCAGCCTCCGGAACCCTCTTGTATCTCTAATCAGATCATTAAGCTCGCGGAGCGTGCGCATGAAGAAATTTGTCGAGAGCCCGCGCCCCTTCCCGCCGGGGCCGCGCGACGGAGGTCCGCTCGTCGCCGAGAAAACGGATAATCGAATCACCATCGTCACCGAGGGGTCGCGACTTTTTCCGCTTTGGTCTCGCCGCGTAAACGTACGCGCTCGTGAATAAACCGCCGCGCCGGGTATACGCGCGCCGAGTTATTCGGTTAGATCCGCGGCGGGGGTTGTTTCTAAAGTGGGTGGCGAAACTTAGCAAGTTTACGCCGCCCCCTTCCCCTTATGTATATTTCAATGTTTGCTTCACCCTGCTTTTTGAACCTTATCTTTACAACTTTATGCAAATCTCTGTGTTTACCCGTGAAGTCTATTTCCTCTACGCGCTGCGCTCTTGCATAATTAAAATAAAAATGAAACGATAAAAATCAAAATAACAGATCATTTCCTGCCATATCATGACTTAGAAAAATATGTACAGTGAGAAGATTTAAATGTGAGGGTGGGAGCATACAATAAGTTCCTGGAGCATCGTTACATTAATAGATGAGATGGTTTCGCGACAGATGGTTGAGCTCTTAAAATGCGTTTCGCTCGTAACGGAGGCGGGAAATGGAGTACAAGCGCAACTGTCTTCTAAATGAGAGCTATTTTTTACTTGTTACGCAGCTGTGACAACGCGTTCCGCAAATTGTATTCCATTATCATTTCGCCCCTTGTGACAACTTCTCACCTCTGTAATCATAACGATAACATCGACAGCACACCGACCGCCCTTAAATACATACATGGAACTCAGTGAAAAACAATAAAGTATTCACTGAACGCTGTTTCACTCATTAAAATATTATTTATCAAAAGGTACCTCAGCTTTCGTAATTTTATGGTATTAATGTTACACGGTTGACATGCTTAAAGCTATTGAAATGCACGCGACAGCGCTGAAAAGATCGCATCTAACCCACCGTTCGGTTCGAGTAGAATCTTTTTCGAGAAAGAGAATTAGGAGAATTAGGGGAGGAACGAGAATTAAAATTGGACTGCCCCTTCAAGCGGATCTGATTTGTTTCAGGATGGAGGAGACGTCACGAGGGTTGCTGCAGCATAAGCACAGGGCCGAACAGTTGAAGCAAGAGAAGACTGCGCTCACGCTTTCCTACGAGGTGAGTCTTCGGAACAGAACTTGAAATTGCTAAAAAAATTAAATCTATAGAGAGATGGACCAGATTTTATTCTCTCAATGTACCCGTGTTCTCGTCATGATTTAAAGGAACGTCCTTAAGAGATGTCTAAATGCTTAACGTTTAATCTAGTATCATTACGTCCCTCCTTCGCTGTACAAATTGGTATGGCTCACGGTAAAGAGGCGCCATTAAAAGTTTTAACTGCGGACGAGCACGATCGACCGATAATTGATCGCTTCCGAGTTCCGAGATGCAGCGAACGCGAGTACCAATACGAGTACCATTCTCTGTTCGACGAGAGGCAGGATTTCAATTCCACGTAGCGGCGTCCTCCTTAAATTTATATTCGTTCGAGTGCTTCATCCGATTTCATCGTGCCGTCCCGAACTCCGGGATGAAACGAAAGGCAGAATGTCTCCCTTCGATTGGACCACCCGGTCGCCCCCGTTGTCGATAAGCAGAAACAGATAACGAAGATACTGCCGAACTCCGTAGCACCGATCGAACGGACCATCGTCGCAGCTATTTTCCGTTCTCCCTTTATTTTTTACATCGTTCGGTTTTTCGTAAACAAAAACATCCAGACACGGTGGACATTCCCGTGAAAAGCTTTTCCCTCGACCAATAACAGCGCTCTCGTATCGTGGATCAACGATGGCTGTTATTGTATTTTTATCTGAAGTGTCGTCGGGCACGATTGTTTCTGGCGGCATGGCATGGGTTCACTATTGAAACGCATAACGCAATTTATTCGGTCCTCTCTCTTATACCGGGCTTTTAATCTGCTACACGATAGATCGACGAATCCGATACAAAAGAGCTTTAACTATCGCGATTAAAGAGTTTTAAGATATAAGAATCGACGATGAGGCTTGACGTTTTAATTAACTTCTCGATAAAACTGAATCGTGAAGTGATTTGAATTAAAAGTAAAAAAGATTAAGGATGTATTGGCTATACAGTCAATCCCAAAAGTTTNCTTTTTAATTATAGGAAATGCGTTTTTCTAAGGTACATAAACTTTTGGGATTGACTGTATAGCCAATACATCCTTAATATAGCTATCGACTACTGACACAAATGACTGCACAATGTGTAAACAGTTAGAATAGACAAGAAGGATGCACATGTAATATTAAATCTACGAAGTATAATAATAAATTTGAACACATATTTTCTTATAAAATGCGGAAGTTCGCACACACACCGCGACCGAATTTCCCAATTTCAGCTCGGCCCTAAGCAAGCCACGGGCTTTCGCAATATAACCGGCGATACTTTTGCCACATATTTACCAACGACCAATATTCCAGACTTAACGAAGTAACGCAACGCCGCGCCGGCACTGCAATGAAAAGGGAGGAAACGATAAACGGTCGCGTTTGCCGCGTACCCTTAGAATGGTACGCACTATCTCGTTCACGGCCGGTTTGCTCCTAAAAGAGTCGTAGATTCAGAGACCTAGGGGTGTGCATCACTGCCCCACGAAATACCGTTTATTATCGATCGTCACTCGATCCCCCGGTTCAATGTCGACCCACCCTACCAATACCGAACCCCCCCATCTACCTAAAAATCCCTCTATCGACTATGAGGAAGCACGCCTGCAAGTGTTCGTTCTGTAGCCTTCAGTTTTCAAGACTTTCTTTACTATCTTTACGTATAAAGTTAGTCCTGTGGAAATTGTATTCAATTCGCTCAAGAAAATTTCCTACATTTTAGGAAAAGTTATTGATACGTGAAGCATCAATGTTTTCGTTATTTCTACTTTTTCTCTCCCTGTTTTTATATTGATTGGCACAGGTTTAAGACTTGATTGCACATTTTTGCATTAATTACTATCGATTTATCATTCCGATGCTGTCTAGTATCTCTCACGAAGCGTCACCGAAGTTCTTGGAGAACTTTGACTGAGCAACCACCGCCGTTCCAAGTATTAGTCAAGCTGTCGCGACGGCGCCAGCTCGCAGTTAGATTAGAAACTCCCCCGCGTCGATGCGTGCAATTTGAACACCCGCGAATACTGTCTAACGCGACGATAAATTATGGGAGATTGGCGTCGAGGATGAGTTGCAGGGAGAATTCTAAGAACCGGACAGTTTGTATTTTTATTTTTCTTACCTCGCCCTCTTATTCTTAGTTCCCCACGTTTGAGATGACAGAAAATCGTTTGGCCCCCTTTTCAGTTTCGGTGGAAGAAGGGGGTGCAGACATTAGCAAGGCCCGGCTGGCTGGCACGACTGTTATAAATCAGACACACGCACCCTCTATTAGCACCCCTGTCTCCGACAGGTCTCCGCAACCCTAATTTAACGTTAAACGCTTTTCTGCTAATAACGGCCGTCCGTGTTATTAACTCTGGCTACGGGCCGCAGCGGGTCTCCGCGAAAAATGCATCCTGGTCATTGAGAAGTTCTTGAAACTATCGCGATGTTATCCGGGAGCCGATGAGAATAGTTCCAGAAGTCCAATTTACTCTTAGAACTTTCGTTTGCATCAAACTCGTATAAAATAGAAAATATTTTTACAAGTAATCTTCATTAATTTTAATGAAATTTGATCAACTTTGACAAATAGCGATATGTACGAGTTTAGAAATTTTTAATTGTTTATGTGAACGATCTATTTTTATGGATGAACAGGCACGCGTGCATCAGTATCAGGCACAGATCTCGAAACTGCAGTTGGAGAACGAGTCGATGAGGGGTCAGCTGCGCGGTTTGGAGGCTGCGTGTGCTGGCGAAGTGCACGCCGCGTTGGTGGCACGTCTGGCGACCTTGGAAACGGAACACGCCGCCTTGGCGAGGGACGCCGACGCTCAGCGTCGACAGTACGAGCGGTGCTTGGACGACGTCGCCAACCAGGTGGTCCGCGCCCTCCTATCCCAAAAGGTTCATTGCTATGCTCTCGTTACCACGTCCTCGAGTTTTCTTTTTCTCGTCTCTCTCGTCTCTCTCTCTCCATTTCTCTTTTTCATTTCGATTCATCTTACTTTTCAACGAAACACGTGTCCTGATCATCTGTATCTTCATTTTAAATATTTGTGATTTTTCATCTTCTCAATAAATGAAAAATCTTATTATACAATATTTGAAAGAATTATATTTTAACATTTTTTTTTGTATTCAAAGCGTAACATGTATAATTTATATTGAATAAGTAAATGATATTTTAAACCGTAATATTTTAATATAATTTGCTCCGTTTATTCATCCCATTTGTTCAAGTGTCCATAAATGTTTAACCAACCCATAACATCGATCCTTACACCCGTCTGCTGAGCTGCAAGACTGCAAAGCTACGAATACGTGTACCATCGCATACAAAGTCCATTCATTTCATCATATTTTTTCTAACAAATATATTGTACAATGCATCCAGTCCAAAATATAGTACCTTTTTAACTGAACTGTAGAAGAACTGATAGAAGCCAACTTTATCTGTTCAATGCTAATAGAATTTTACGCTATAGCGCTTATTTGTGTAAGAGATCTCGTTTTATGTCCGCTAACGCGCTTTCTGCCGTCATTTTTAATGTATTTCTTATGTATTCAAGGGCGACAGAACTCATGGCTTTTTATCGTGCGTAGGGTCTCAGGGAAGAAATCGGTGCGTTGCAGAGGCGTATCAGAGAGCTCGAGTCACAGAACCGAGCGCTTTCAGGATTATTGGCCCAGGCCACGAATCCTGGGAGTCCGACAGAGTTGATTCAGGGGATTCTCGAAGCTGGACCAGCTGCGGTCGTAGCTGCGCTTGGTCTGGACCCAGCCTGGGTTCCTTTGTCGAGGCCGCGCTCCCTCAATCTGCAAATTCCAGTCATGGCTGCTACAAAATGTCGAAGGAACAGACCATTGGGTACAGTCAATACTCCACGATGAAAATTCTTACGTGCCTTTAGTTTAATTAATTGAATACCATGTCGAGCCACTGTTATATAAGAATGGAATTATTATTTGAATCAGAAATTAGATTTCCACAGATCCATTATTTTTTCCGTCGAAAATTAGCAACCTGATCGTGATGATAGTAATATGAATGTTATTTGTTGCGATGTAGCCCAGAAACCGTCAGAAGAAGAAGGCAGTGAGAGTCCGGAGAGCGGGAACAGGGACGAGGGTTACTCGACGATGTCCAGCGATGTGCAGGGCGAGGGTGCTCGACAGGAACCGTCTCGGGGGTTGGAGGATCTGAAAGAAGCGACCGACGAGACCGAGGCGGACGTTTCGCCGGATGCACGGCTGGTCGCCCTGGACGCCGGCGACCCGGACGTCCTCTTTTTGCCGTTGAATCTCACCGTAGGGATAAATCCACGCCACAGCTACCCGCCGACCAAAGACTTGCTGCCGTATCAGCATGTAATGCGCAGCTTTTCGGACAGTCATCTATGCCTCAAGCTGACCACCACGACCAATTTCACGCCGTACAAGCTGCCCAGTCCCGTGGGATCTTCGTCTCTGCTTCTAGTCGAGGAGGAAGGTTGGGACGCCGAATACGTGCAACAATGGCTAAGGTATGACTCTATAAAATTATTTAATACAATTGTATTTTAATCCTTGTACTGTTCACTGCACGTAAAAACGGATACATTTTTTGTCCTTTGATAATACATCCGCGAATTTCTGGTACTTAAATTATTTCCCAAGTGCATTCAATTTAAATTTGATTATACAAAGAGCATAATGGATGCGGCGAGTGTAAATCGAGATAAATTTCAGGTTGGACGACAGCAGGAGTGCTCAACAACATCGAGATCTCCTCGAGTTGGAATACGATAGGGCGGAACTGGAAGATTGGAGTTTCTCGTTGTCCACCGAGGACCTTGTTCAGAACGAGTCCGCGGTATGGAAGGAACCCGCCGCCACCACCACTAATACTACCACTACCACTCCTGCGCTTCCAGCAATCAAGGAGCATAATCCTCTGGAATTGGAAGAGGACGCGAATGAATGCTTGTGGAATGGTGCCAGTTACCTTGCCGATAGGACGGGAGGCGAATTGGTAAGAATTGAATATAAAAAAGTGCCGTGCTTTTTTCCCGCTGTCACTGGAACTTCGTTTTATTAAAAGGAAAAAAAATTATTTCCAAGACACTTTCTATTAATATTCAGGTCGCTCTTCTGATGGACGCTAGAGCCACTGGATCATGGCCGTATGCTACGAGTCCCGGTGCTTCCTGGAGCAGCGAGGAAGGAGCGTTCGAGAACTCCAGCAAACGATCTTCGGCAGCGTTATCCGGCTGCAGCGATGATCCGGACTCTCCGTCTATTGGCACTGACTTTACCAGAGACTTTTACAGATTGGTGAAATTTGAGAGTACGAAGAGCTTAGCGAGCACTTCGTCGAGAAGCGGAAGACCACCGCCCGATAGAGAACAAGCTTTGCAGAGCGTACTATCCTTTATTGCCGAGCAGCAAATGTACTTGGCCGAATTACCGAACAATTTGCTAGAACACAATGGTGCAGCTCTTACAACGGAAGGTTCGTCTCGAAAATCTAAGCTGGAAAAATAGTAATCGATCTTTTTAGGACAACGAGATTAAAATTGAATTTGATGTTAACAGTTCTGGAGGAAACGGAGAATAGGGACGAGTGCGGACCCGAAGCGATGTGCTCTGAAATAGAAATGTCCGTCGATCAAAATAGCAGTAACACGGAGAACATTGGTGAAACGAGCAGTAACGACGATCTGTTGGATCAGATAACCGTACCCTCCTTGGCGCCGGAGGAGAGAATAATCAGCGCGGTGGCTTGTAATGGTGGTGTCTCTTATACCACCGTTGCGCCGTCCGAATTGGGCGCCGTTCCCGAAGAAGACGAAGAAGCGGCTACCTCGTCTACACCGAGCACGGTTGTAAGTCTGATAATCACTTGTTCGAATTATTCGAAATGAAATTTGAATTTCTAAAAATTTTATTACGTGTTATACATTTTTTATTTATTTATTCGCTTCGTCTGTATTTTTGCGGAAAAATGTTTCGACGTTGTATGTTCGTATTAGGTGAGTCCGGCAAGAGCGCCGCTATTAGTCGAGGGCAGGGATCGATCGCTGAGCTTTCACGAACGAGCCACGTCGAAGGACGTGATAGATGAACTGAACCGAATGATCAGAAAGGGAGAAGAGAATATCGTCACCCAAGAAACGCAGGTGCCGCTCGAGAAATTGGATCTCGCTTGCTGCTGCCCGACGGGATGGGTTCACGTTGAACGAGACATTGACTTTACTGACCCGAAAGTAAGTAACCGATCACGAGCCACTGTAATTGTAAAAGTATAAATCAAGATAAAATTCTATTTTACAAATTTCCAAGCAGAAACGGAAAGTTTCTTTTTTCTTACTGACGCTTGTAATCCTTTAGGCAAGAGCCAATCTTTTAGACGTGATGTTAGAAAGCAGTGAAAGTTCTTCGGCGACATCGAGCAGCGGATCAGCCGGAAGTGACTCGGGGGATGAACCGCCTGATTACCGTCACTTGCACAGACTACACCGATACCGACGACAAAAGAAAGGTATTTATCGACGGTCTAACTAAATGGTAGAATATATTCTTGTCCAATCTTGCACATCACTCTGAGATATTCCTGTCTATAAACTTTCTTACCTTCCGCTTGATATACTCTGATTCGACAAAGATAAAGAAAGTTATAATGAAGCAGCTCGAAAGCTTGAATCTCTATCATAATATCTCTGCGAGCTTACGATATGAAAAAGATGAAACCGTTTCTTCTTTCGATAGTGCCTCATGAAAGAAAGAGTCGCTTCCGCTTACCACACTCATTATTATTAACATTACTAACAATTACATGAAAAATCACGCTACTATACTCGTTGCATCAGACCTCAGTTGAATTTAAAAAAAAATGAAATACTCAAGTCATATTTCCTGCCATGTTGATCCCTGGTAAATGCTTATTGAGTATATTAGCGTGGGTTTCGACCACGCCGTGCGTTAAGCGGCTTTGATCGATTGACATCCCATCACTGTACAGTCACAAAAAAAAAGAAATATCGGGACAAGAACACAAAACGCTGGTAGCTCTCGCTGTACATAGCCTTTTCCACGTTTTCTGTTCAGATGGTAGCTCCTACGCGGTGTGCTTTGATTGTCACAAGAAAAGCTACGTAGTTCGGCTTAGTGACGATCAGTTTCTGTAACCGACATGCCAATTGGGAGGAATCGTTTCACCGGGACCTATTTTGAGCCTGATCCAACGTGAACTGTACGGCTACAACGGATTTTCTATTGGCTTACTAACCGATCATTAACCAGAGGACGTTAGAACGAACTCGTGTACGGATCACCTTTACGCAATTCCATCTTTACAATTAAAGAATTAAAAATCTCGATGCATAGAATATGTTTGACAGATTCGAACCAGCGAATTAACACATTACGAACGACGCGTTTAAGAAATTTTTATACTTCATATATTTTATGTTTTATTATGTTAAGGACTTTGATAGAGTTTCTATGGTGGTTTCTCAGAATTTGTCCGTAATGTGTTAATATCTTTATTATTCGTTTATTTTTTTTCTTTTAATCTACGGAATAATATTCGTTACGCTAAGATAATTTGTATCTGTAAATTACGTGCAATTTATACTCGAGTATATTGTGCGTCGACTGACGGAATATGAAAAGATATTTCAGAATCGATGTCGTACTTAAAAATTACTATGTAAATAAATTTTAATAATAACACTGTTAACAGCAATTGCGTCTGGAATTGCGTCAAGGGTCACATAAAGCAATTACTTTCTCTCTCATTCTAAAAAGTATCTCTATTTGTTGAATTGATTTTCAACTTTGATAGGTGTTCGACTTTTCTATTTTTCTCTATCATTTCCGTCATTTCCCATATTTATCCAATGAGAAAGGGCTATAACACGAATCTTATGTAATTAGAACATTTAACATAATAATCTTTGTAGATATCTCATTTTCGTTCATTCCATACATATTGTAGTTACTCGTGACAGACAAAGAGCATAGACATACTATTGCTTAATACGTGTTAATCGAAATAACATATCACAGCATCACATGGCATCACTCGACATGATTCTACGAAATAAATTGTCAGACACGTGAATTTCTAAAAAGAGTTTGACTGTCACGAGATCTCATACACACGAAAAGTCGAGCACTTGCCAGTACATGAAAATTTTTTTCGTAGTAAAAGCGTGTAACGCTAAACGCGAAAACAGTAAATTAATAATGTAAGACGTTTAAAAGAAGTTAAATATCTATACGATAGAATTAAAATAAATGAAAGGGGAGAGTGAGGGAGAGAAAGAGAGAGGAACGTGATACGTGTAAGAGTGCTAAGCCGAGCTACTCTGTGTCTGCTAGAGCCGGTATAGGAAGAAAAAGAAAAGAGATCAAGTGAGGTCTGAGGCATGTTGACCCGCTGCGCTTGGTTTCTCAGCATCGGCGGCCCAGGCACACCGTGTCCTGCGACTGCCGTCCACCTGGGGCTCGTCGAGGCCGTCGATCATCGGACGTGGTGACGATTTCTTCGTGCGATACGGGGATAAGGAGCGCGAAGCCGTGGCCTCCTTCGACTTCCTCGACGAGATTGTGGCACCATCCTCGACAGGTTCGAACACCAGTCTCATCGACTTGGACGACACACCGTCTTTGGAGCTTCGCAGCGACATCATGAAGCTTTCTCCACTCTAGAATTTATGCTGGACCTAGCTCGCGCATTAAGCGAATACAGGGGGAGCGGTACTTCCTTAGAGGATTACACCCAAGGATTTATCACAGCGTACAGTCAAATCATATTACGTGAGATTTTCATATTTTTAAATCGCGTCTCGAATACGAAAGAAGACAAATTATAGTTTGCTGTATATAATTACTCCTCCTGTATTTGCTTGTTCTATAATTCAAGGAAATTTATTGTCAAGCGAGAACTCTCGTGAGAATATATAGGCAAACTGATTCGCTCAACTCGTGTGGGAATCCACATGCATCGGATAAAAATTGTATCACAACACATTTTCGCAAGCAAAATGCGTAAACTTTATTATTCGTAAGATGAACATGTTCTGTAGCTACTTGGCTGAATATCAGTATATCAGTTTCATTATAAATACAATTCGTCTTCGAAAACTCCTCGCCTACTCTTGGTATATAAATATAAAACTATTTTCTTTCTACGCATTATGCCGTTTGCCTATCTATAACAAAAGTTCTCGAAGTGTACATTCTACTTTGATTCCCAGCTACTTATTAATTGTTACTATATTCGCAAATAATCAGATCTGTACATATTATACCGAGTCTCCTGTAAATAGCAACAATTGTTTATTTCTCGCTTGCATATTCAAGATATTAATTGCAAGATGAAAAATATTATTTAATTTTGATAAAAGAAATTTGACGAAGTAATCGCATAAGAATTACGTATTTATTACAAGAAGGCATTGCTTCGTTTTCATTTGAGAGCTTCCTCTGAGTACACAACAACAATTTCATTTAAACGATATTATTATTTTTGTTCCTCTTCGATTTGCGTGTATAAAACGTCAGAAGAGACTTCATCGACTGCAAAACGATTTCTTGCTCACAGGATGGAAGTAGACGTCTCAATTAATAGATACGTGCACGTAAACGCTGAAAGATGAGGAACGTCGAAGCGTAAGAGGTGGTCTAAGCATTATTAATGCGTAATATGTACAAACATGAATTACGATGACGAAGTGAATGTCATAGACTGGGACTATGATCGCACTTTAAATGTACACTCGCATATTTCAAATAGTACTTCCATTGTCAGATGATCAGATGATCTAAATGACATCTGTTTCCATTGCGCACACGAAATCTAATGTACACACTCGTAACATTGCGTTCTGTAAAGAAAATGTGAACCGATCAATTACGACGATTAGCGAACGGCGCGTGACGTGAAATGTTTAGGTAGAATACGACTGTTTCTACATTTTTCAAATGGTGACGTATACACGTAATTTATATAAATGTAATGCAGTCTCGCGCATCACTCTTCCGAAATTGAGCTTAGAAAAATCTAGATTAAGGATACTCGATGATTTTTGTACGAATATGAATTTGTACTCGCTTGTCAACACGCTAACGTCGAGGACTCGTAGGTATTATAAAAGAAAATATCCTGTCGCGTGGAACACTGTTAAACGCGTGCAACTTTTCCTTCCGTCTTCAACGAACGAAAAGGAAAGTATTGAATGTATTACTTACCAAATGTAACATAAAATATAGAGGGAGTTCAAATTTAAACGTGCACCTGACGCGACGCGTGGATCGTAGTCGATAGAAATGGAGACAAGGGAGAAGAGAAATCATGGGGAGAACTCGCAACTGGAAAATAGTAATAGAGACGTATGATCAAAACGCCATACGTGGTAAATGTTTCATCGTAATTTGTACATGATTCATACGTTACGTTAACTTGCGTTCGGTCAAATTACTAGGAGAGTAAATATAGTGTGACGCGTTTAAGGTATAAATAAAGTTGATAGAAATCGAAATATTTTACACGTAGAAATAGCATATAAACACAATGGATATTTTCAATAATTGAAACGGAGATTGTACGAACATAAAGTTGTCTTTTCGATCAAATCATTTTTACAATTCCTTATATCCACCTGTGTGCATTACACAAAAAACGGTCTGCTGATCTTCCGCGTGTATTATTAAAATGAACAAAAAAGTAATGACGCTTCAACCCAATAATTATTATTTTTAACTAACAATCATTATGTTAATCACAACGAACGAGTTCCGAAACAAAAACAACTTTTGTTCTACAATCTCGAGGATAAACGTTCAATGATAGATTGTAAGGAACGCGTATAAGTTACGTTTACGTTATATTGAAAACGCGATCATTGCGAGCACTGATTTTTCAATCCCAATCGAAGATGAAGGGACGTGCGATTGGGACAATGTAAATAGAATGTATTATAGCACAACAGATGTAAGTTATCTTCTCTTCAACTTAATAAATAACGACAATATAACGAATGTAAATGCGCATGCTCGATGTTCAATCTAGAAAACCGTTCCTATCGAATATTATTAATACTACATAAATATATATATATGATTCTATCAGTTCACTCGATCATATTGTGCATTAAGATATAGACGAGTATTTCAATAAATAAAAAGATAATTTAATTATATCAATGTTTCATTTGCGTGTAAATAGCTGTACACTTTTATTAGACAAACGCTAACGCAGAAACTGATGGTACGATAATAGGTAATAAATTCAGCGGAAAGGCAAAATAATTTTTTTATCCTAGGTTAAAAGATGATATATTAGTAAGCTTAGAAACTTGGATAAAATAGATTTTATTACGTTTTGAAAAGTATAGTGATTGTGTGCTGTACAAATAACAATATAAACTGTATTTTATAAAAGCATCTGTAAGCAATGTGTAATACTTATCAAAATATTATTATATTATAAAAATACTTTTGTATGATGTTTACAAGACTATGTAATGCACTGTGATTTAGTTTCTCGTTATTGGAATAGCTTAGAATTTTTTAATCAGGCGAATCATAAATTATAATTGATAAAACTTTCTTATTTCGTATCGTTGACGTGAAAGATTAGATTTATGTGCATGAGAATGGTAAGTTGTACACATATACAAAAGTTCGGTAACAAGAACAATTATAAATCTCGTTGAGTCTCTAAAAGCGATTCGCACCAATCATTATTATCGATCTCGACGTAACTACTGTTGACGAAAATAAGTTTATTTTAATTAGAAATGTATCAAAATTAAAAATACATTAAATAATATGTTTACGCATTTGATATCACGTATTGCGGTAGAATATAAACGAAAAGTATTATTCACTGTCAAAGTAAAAGGCACTTTTTTTGCTTTTGTTTTCTACTATCTTACGATTCTTTAACGATTGTCTAAATAATTTGTTTCAGTACGACTGTAACTTCTATCGCGTTATACGGCCGAATATTTAATAGTAGTGTTATCAGTTACATTACTTTTAAATTTCAATATACCCTCCTTCAGCATTCGTCAAACTTCTCACACTCTGTAACCTCTGCGTTCACTGTTCCTGATAGAGTTTGCCAAACAAAGTGCGAAAATGATGCCGATCAACTGAAACATTAAACGTAATAGTGATTTAGATCGAGGAACAGTAAATTAGAACACGTGGCATATTTCAGGCAATCGTGATTTGTTGAAGTATATCACGTTGACAACATCTGCCACTCGTAATAATCATACATCATAGGTTTTATTTAATACAAAATAAACTCACTTCGACACCAGCAACACCGATAGCGACACCGCCGAGTACGGTTCCAGCGAGGTGAATTGCTTCTTTAATTGCATCGGTGCAACCTTTTTGCGCTATTTCGTCCGATGGACAAGTTTCATTTCCTTGTTTACCGCAACAACTCCCGGGAATATTAAAATTAAAATCTCTGGGGGACTCAAGACCGCAGCAATGTAACTATAAAGAGACATACGGTAAATTATTTGTTTGTTTTAAATTCATCCGTATATTTTTTTAATTACATTTAACACGCGAACATGCAAATTCTTGTAATTATTACATCGATCGAATACTTACGCTACTTTGGATGAGATCCACAATCTTTGAGCTCTCTTCGCTGTCACGGTAGTGGTTGAATACATCCCTGTATTTGGTTTCGACGTTGCCATTATTCTTAACAGCCATGAAGGCAAAAACTGCTACTGCCACTTGCACGAGGAGAATAAACAGAAGGAATGACGCGAACTAAAAATAAAAGATTCATTATTATTCTGCACAAACATTTCAGATTGAATTTTAAAGTAGTAGTAATTAAATCTGATTTTTTAATATAGATACAAGAAGAAGATACAACTAGTTTCAGGACGCTTTTAAGAATATTAATTTTTTAGTCAATGATAATAATTGATCAAATTATATGAAACGAAATTTTAACAGTTTGTTATGCACTTACGGTTATTGTCATACAATGGCTCTCCCGGATGGCACCGCAACATCCGAAGAACGATACAACAAAGACTATGCTTCCGATGACAATTAATGTTATCGCGGGGAACTGGAGGCTGGTGTCGAGTTGATGCTGAACTTCTGCTATCTTCAGGTGTACCATGACACCGAGAGTAAGAATAGCCAAACCGCATACCTGTAACAAAATAATAATTTCAAATATAAACTCGTATTTTTAATGTAAGCAGATATAATAAGTATATAACGTCTAAAAAAACATATTTCATTCAATCATCGTATGATATTTAATCGATTCGACAGTCAATTTCCTGCAGATGCAAGTTTCCAAGCTGAAGATCCGAAACAAGTTACTTTACAGCCACTTATTACATCAGATTGCATAATATTAACTGGTTGGCATTGAACATTCTGCAAGTAGATGATACAACGCGCGTATGCAAGAGTCCGTAGGTGAATTTAGGTCATGTCCCAGGTGCGAGACACATGGTGGTTCAACAGACTTTTAACAAAGTATATTTAAGTATGTGAAAAACCAGTGGCTTTTCTCTACAAATTACGTGCAGGAGGAAATTTTATTAATTTCGTAATTATGCAAAGCACTGTCTTCAATATTACTGGTGAGTTGAATAAAATTTATAATAATTGAAACTGAAAGGATCGTGAACGTAAATAGCTCCCTTTTCTACAACAGATATTTGATAACTGAATATGGTATCTTTATCCGAGTACTTTTTTTATTTATTTATAATGACTCAGCGATAAAAGAAAATCAATATCGATGCTATCTGTTCCGTGCAGATGAGCAATTCATCAAGATTATAAACATAAATGTTGTGCCATTGTTCCACTAATTTATGTATTGCTAATATTATTTGTTCCTGATCGGATGATTGCAATCAGTCTTCTTATCACTATGGCTGATACAGAAAAGTTTATTTAATGAAATTATTAAATTATGTCTTTCTACTTTCATCGATCTCTTAGAGACTTTAGTATCTTAATAGTTACTAATTACAAAAATCTGACAACAATAAAATCATACAATAGATTTCTAAACATGATAAAATAATGATCACAGACAGTAGTAAAAAGGGATTGGATTGCGATTGATTATTGGCATTTTTATGACCATTTTAATGAAAGCTGACGATAGTTAAATGTTAAGACGATGAAATAATTCATAGGGAGCAACAGGATCAACGGAACGTATTCCCTTAAGTAGAGCCAATTGCATATCAATACGTATGCAACTATACATACATATGTATGCCGTGTCCTTGACACTTTATGGGAGTTATTTTCTCCGTGTCTCACATGCACATCGTGCTCGAAACAATTGTGATCGATGCTGAGAGCCTGCCATGTGCAGCGTTAATGTTTGTCATTCGGTCTCAGAGCACATTACGTGAATTTATCATTTCGAATCTAGTTTCAACTTTATAGTCGTACGACTTAGTGCCCTACATTCATCACTTCAGTTTGATTAGCTTTCCGAGCTTTAACACGCAAGTTTGGAATTAATCACTTCGTAAGAATCTTTATAACCGAAAAAAATAGAAATGCTTGTGAAAACTGATGAATCAAATAGCTATCTATTTCCGCTGAATATACCTCTTCAGTTGACTATGATTTCCTTAATGAATCCTTTCGTAAACCACGTAAGTATGAAAAAAAAACAATATAACAGGAATCTATAAAAAAGATTCTCGAAGTTACGTCGAATCGATTTAATTGTACTGCATGTAGTATTTGCTGATTCAGTCGTGATAACACAAAGAATACATATATATATTTGATGATCTAATCCCAGTCTTAAACTGGATGACATCATTCTTATTCTACGTACTGTATACCTCGACACTGACTTCCTGTGCACTACGCTAAAACCAATTTCAGATCCATTCCCTTCGTCTGACAAGAATAAACTGAACTAGACACTTCATGAGAAATTGGTTTTGCAAATTGAAGTACGTAAGGATCTGAGATACTTTTAATTCCTTAAATGGAGATTTAAGATTGCTGAACTTCAACATAAGTCTAATTATATGAATTAGGAAAATCATAATTGCGTTACTCAAGTTACTAATTTTACTCAAAGAATTAATTTTGAAATCAGTAAAACAAAATCTCTATATTTGTTGTACGCTATAAATATTAATGATTCATTCCATTGATAAAATGTTTCCTGGAACGTGAATGGTAGTCGGTTTTGTAATAAATGATATATCCATAATCGATCTTCTGATAATCCAATTTGTAAAATTGTAATCAATTATTAAGATAACGATAACAAAATACGAATCTGATGTTTACTCTCTTTCCAAGAAACAGATAAATATATCAGTACGTATATTATGTATAACAAGATTGAGAATTTTATGTATTTATAAAAAGATTAAATATGTCAAAAATAAAGACGCGGCAGTAGTGCATGAAAATATAAAAATATCGAAAGTACAAGTATAGTGGGAGAGTCAAAAGACAACTATCTCATGCATTGTTAATTCCAGCGAGCAGCGCTTATTGGCATGCTATTACTGTTAATTAACGTCATGAGAATGTATCGATGCTCGACAGTGACTATTCTCGCTTGTTAATTGACACTTGGCCATACATTCGAATATTAAACAAGAACAAGCATGAACAACAAATTCGAATTTTATTTCTTCAATCTCTAAAAAGAGGCCTAAAATTATCTGAATCTCTAACAACGTTAGGAAAATCTCGTTTCACTAAAAGTATAAAAAGATTCACGACTTTAGAAAAAGCCTTGAAAGATATTCGGCAAAGCAAATAATGTTTCTCTGAAAACATTATTCTCTTCTCTTTCTTCAGAAGTTTTGTATACGCGTTATTGAATCTGATCGAAAAATAATCGAAGAAGAACGAATAATCCCACCTTCAAAAGAATAGTAAAGTACTGGAAATTAGTATGTTCCAATCGCTATTTCTAGAAGCAGAACCGTGTCGACTTTCTTACTCAGCTGATACGAATCTACAAGATATATTCGAAATCGATTCAAGTGCGGAAAACGTGTTCTTATCTTTCAGATACTATCTAGTTACCACTATCTTTTCCAACCATTCTATTTCTTACGCGTGGTGCACACAAATAGTATTTTAACGCACGATGGTGTCCTTGTCTTTTCAGTCGAAAATGACGAAGACATACGAATTGTGTGGCGACGAGTCCCTCGTTTGATGATTACCAATCAGTTGATTACGAAATTGCATAAAACTATAAGGCGTATTTCACAGAATTATCTGTACAATGTATCGTACATGATAATCAGCATCACAAAGGATATAACAACGGAATTTTAAACAAGATAATTAGATGCAGCGTTTGTTCGATGCACGAAGAGCAAACAGTTCAATCTATATCTAACGATCAATCATCTGATTTCTCTCTCCTTTACCTACTTTTCACACATTATATTAACGTTGATATTTAATCAAGGAAAGAATTTAGAAGCAGCGACGCACATCCTCTGTCGTACTGTAGTGTGTCTTAGTGTGTGTTTCTTAGTCATGACCTTGGCCGCTCTGATATATCTGTTCCATGTGCCAATTATAGCTAGGATCAAAATTTCGCCGTTCTATCGTACCGAATTACTAAATATTATTACTACTGCATTCTATCCACCGGTGACATTGTATCCTACATAGTAGGTTGAAGTAGAAAAGGAAACATTCCGATGATGATGCAATTACGATTCGCGTGTGACGCAATTGATTTTCCTGGTACGCGGTCGAAAATTACCGCGTTACGTAAAAGCATCCATCTGAAAATGGGATAACTATCTTAAACTGTTTAGCATTGTTCATGGCAAAAACTAAATCTAAATATAAACTGAGTATAAAAAATTGTTAAAATAAAATGGAACACGACCCGAATATGTGTGAACGTCTTAAGATTGGGAGAACTTTCGTATGTACAAATCGTCGGATAAGGGTGACGTATAAATTGCGAGAGAGCTTGGTATCATATGCGTCACGTACACCACATAAACGTCGAATTCAATTGCGGTAGGAGTTTAATTTCACACGAGCGTACTTACGCTGAGAGTCCAAGTACGCGTAAATTCTTAATGACGTTGACTCACAACGCGGGAAACCCGATACGATTCTTTCCGTTAAAGGTGGAGATATCACAGGCTACAATAAAACGTTGCACGCGGAACGTTCCATTCTATAATAATTGTTTGCCTAGATCTATCGTTATATCAACACGATCTTTCTTAATGTTTAAACCTATTATATTTCTAAAGCCTATCGGACTTATATCGAAACAGGAAACGTGAAAGATATCATTTTCCAAAAGTATTATAAGAAATCATAATTACGTACATGAAAGATAAAGCTTTAGACTGTGAAGTTAATATATCGCAAACAACATCAGGCAGACGTACAAAAAGTACCGAGGAAAAAGAGACAGATCTTTTTCACGTTGAAGGACATTTACGTGTGTGTTGCGGTACTTAAGTTTAAAATGAAATATAGAAGTGTGCTCTTAACGAGTCATAAAACTACCAAGGACACCATGGCGTGGCCGAACCTTGAGTAAAACGAGGAATTTAGAGCAGAATTACAACCAGTTCCCCTCTGACCCTGGAGAAATGACGCAGTTTCGTCGCAGAGTATAGTGTACAAACTACTCTGAACCAATATCCTAGCCGTGCGTCGTCGTCGCGTCGCCGAAACGGTTAGACGCTGGAACGTCCTTTCAGACTTCTTTACTACCTCATCCCCTGATTCCTGTCTTCCTAATCCTGTTTTGCGAGCACAAAGCCAGTCAACGGTTGAATTCATTAAAGCGCTAACCGTCTTTTAGTAACTGTCTGTTCCACATTTTCCAATAGCTATTATGAAATCAATAAATATTTAAAGTCTGATGATTATTTGTTAATATTCTCAACCTCACGTGTCGGTCTTTCCTAGTTACTTGCATTAGTCATGTGAGAGATCGGTCGATTACTTACGCAAAATATAAAATTGAAAATGAAGATCAAATACCTGACTGGAAACACGTTTCGAAGACTGACATGATCCTTAGCGGGCCAACCGAAATATGCAAGGAACAATACTCTCATTCTGCCTCTGACTCTCTCTTTTTTAAAGTGCATTAAGAAATATACAGTCACTAATCGGAATTCCCTGATAGCCAATGATTCGCTTTCACATTACTTCTCGGAAAGCTTAACTATAAGCATGACTGCTCAGATTAACATGCAAAATGAATTATCTTCATAATTTCATTGTAATTAAATTGTACTGTATCGAATTACAAGGCTTATAAATGCAATGAGCTTACGTGCCCAGAAGTATTAATTAATGATTGCCGGCTATAGATGCTCTAGTATTCTACTTGCACTACTGTAACTAGGAAAACTTCAAGCGTATAACAACGCTGACACAAATAGACTCGTTTCATATGTTATTTAAGTTCTAAATAATATACACGTTTTGTACCGTATCGAAATGTACTTAAATATCCACCAATGCGTGCAATTGTGCAATGTTGAAACATTGGAACTAAAGGTGTCTATAAAAAATTATTATTAGTAATTCGAATTGGAAATGAATAGAAACAAAAAAATGCGAGCTACTGTTTCCGTCACTTAGTCATACTTGACACGGAAAATTGTAATTCTTGTTGCACAATCCGTTAAACAACGACGACAACTAGAATACGCATAAACGTTTTTTAACTACACATACATGCTTCTTCTTATCGCATGACTCACGATACGTTGCTGTTTACATTGGCGTATATTTAGTCAGTATGTGTAAAATATGCCAAGTCAATATACATATACGATGTGACCCACCCCTCACTATCTCATTGAGCAATATTTCATTAATTTTAACAAGTTAAATTTCACACTTGATCTACGCTAAGGATACCGTTGAATTTATTGCGGAATATTTATAGCGCGCATTAATCGTGCGCAAACAATTGCAATTAGTAAGAGTCTGCGACCGAAAGGAAATTTACAGCTTCTTGAAGGAAAAATGGAGCATAATGAAAGTTCTTAACAGGAGGTGATGTAAACAAATCTATATAACAAGAGTTATAAATATCTGAGCGAAGCAGTATACTTTATAATATTTAATAAATATGTAAAGAACAAAACAATATCATCTTGTTTGTCTCAAAAATAGAAATTTCACGGTCCAGTTAGAATTGTTGTTCGTGAAATTAAAATAGAAACGACGAAATAACTATTGAAACAAAACGAATGGATCATTTACCAAATAATACTTAAATTTAGCACACCCACTGATACTACGGAGTAAAAACTGTAGCTACCACGCAATGCGCTAATTTTTTGTTTTCAGTAAATTACCAACAATGCTACGCATAATGATGCAAAGATAACGATGCTCTTACACGTTCAAATATTACTTACAAAGGCGTAGCAGTGAATTATGTACAGAGGACAACGGCAAGTCAATTGAATTTCAGGAGCAGGTTCAATAGTGACGCGACTTTCTTTTTAAGATGATTGTTACGAACAAGTTGGATCAACGGACAAAGACGAATAAGATACTTACCGCGAAAATAAAGTTAAATATGAAGAGCAGATATTTTATCATTCCCATTCCGCAACCCATCTTCGTAGCTTTTTCCCGTTGGGCGACTTTCGATTTTCAAAAGTTCAAGTCCGTTAAGATGCCGGAATATGGCTTAAAGGAGGCGTAGAAGGACGCTCAACAGGTTAGGTTGAAGCAGGGCACAAGTAACAACTCCACACTCGAAGGTTCGTATTCAACTGCCACGCACAAAGACTACTACCGTACTACCGGCTGTACGGCGACGACAACCGAACGAAAACGAACGGAACGAAACCCGTCCGTCCAGTCACGTAGCGTAATAGCACCGCGCCTGTCTTTATCTGACGAGATATAAGAATTAATACGATGCCAATACCAGTATCAATGATTCGTTAAAAAATGGAATATAAAACAGTCGAATTCTACGAAGAGTTCATACGACTCATTTAATTAATTTTAGACTTTGAACGTTTCACTTGCTTGTTATTCGATCATCGATGTGTCGTATTTTTATCAATAAAAGTCGAAACGTATTTGATATAAAATGAATTTTGAAGTGTATGTGTAAAGAAAAAATGAAATATCAATTTCGTCGAAAGGTTCAGTAGAAATCATTTCACAAATATTGAATGTCTATAATAAAAATGATTGTATTGTCCAAACATCACTTGCAATCGCTTCATACAAACCTATATATATGTTCAGTAATAAAATAGCCATTTTCCGTATGTCGATATACAATGTTTGATAATGTGGTTTGTTAAATTGCATGTAGCAAATGTAATTATAAAGTCTGACTTGAGGAACTTCATATTCGCTTTTTGGTTTGCTTTGCTGCATGCTTCAAACTTGACAAAAGATTTTTCGTCACATAGCGCAACATACGTATTATCAAAAACGATAAATGATATATATTTAAGAAATTGACTGGGTGTACGCGCAGTCAAAATGCATGCTATGCAATAGAAATGAAAGTATGTATGTACAATCAATGAGTACTAAATATTGTATAACAATTATTCGTGCGTTAAAAGTCAATCGATGTTCTGCTCTTCGATTGTTTAAGGAGATTCTGGCCCATTGTTATGTCTCCTTTAGATGCTCGAGCCAACGATTCTGCAGCGATCACCCGTTCTCTTATTCTTTTCGTCCTTTCTCGGCAAGCTCTTGCGTAACAAGACATACACGTTACGAAGCAGACCTAAAAATAACTTCGTAAAAGTTTCAACTCTATTTCCGTGCTTACGACAAATTGACGAACAAATTTCGTTACCTGCAACAGTGCAGAGGATAATGCTAGTAAGAAAATATGAAGAAGAATCGATTTAGTACGATTAAGCACTGCATGCTGACACCCGTGTGCATACAGCGTGGTACAAGTGCCTTTATTGTTGCTAGAATCTGTTACCATTGAAAGATCGCAACAAGACCAAGGGACTGCATCTTGTTTACTAAAATCAGCTGGTCCGTTTATTCCACAACAATGTAACTGAGAAGAAAAATTATAATTTGGTTTAAAAAATATATGACACAAATTAAGCATCGAGCATTTAAATAATGAGATATAAAAAATTTAATTTGCATAATACTAATTCTCAATTGGTCTAATCACTTGTCAATTAACTGAATATACCTGTGAGTGCATATGATCCCATTGAGCTTTATCGTCTGATAGAGCACGTTCAAACACCTGATCGAGATCCACGTTTGGCAATAGGACCACTTGTTCGTGCCTTACAAGGGCCCAAATTCCAGCGCTCGTATTGACAATAATAGCAATCGTCAGTGCTATAGAAAACTAAGTAAAAAAAGACATTGTTTTATTTCATTAGAAACAGTAAATAAAACTAGTAGATAGATTAACGTAGCCCCCCAAACCCCTGAACCAAAGTCAATTAATACAATATGTATGTCTAATCTGAAGTACGATCTTTTGTTTTTCATTAATAAGATAAATTATTGATTAATTTATAAGTGATAACTAAAGTAAATCACGATTTAAGATTTCTTACAATTATGACTTGGCCACTGTTCGTGAAATCCAGAAATTGCCAAGTACACCATCCTATCACAGCTGTTATCAAGCCTATCACCAACAACGTTATCGCTGAACCGCATACATTGCTGGGTGCGAGGGACGAATATTCGTATAACTGATATATGAAATAACCGGCGCATACGCTTTCCACGATACCGCATACCTACGAGGAACAAAAAGGGAAATCTTGTGTTATTTACGTAGAATGAAGGTGCCGGTTTCATACATTCACCGACAATAACACGCACAGGCGATAAGAGATAATTAATAGTATCTAATCTTGTCGCTGAGCTCGTGGTAAATGTTAAAGATTTCAAGAAACAGAGGATAAGCTGTTCTCCGAATTCTCGTCTAATGACTCTACTAATTGCGAAATGTAATTTTTCGTTTATCTGCTAACATCGTTTCTTATGTAGTTCATTTTAACATTTTCATTTCGATTCTTAACAACTATCGTTTATTATATTATATATCCACAACAATGTAACTGAGAAGAAAAATTATAATTTGGTTTAAAAAATATATGACACAAATTAAGCATCGAGCATTTAAATAATGAGATATAAAAAATTTAATTTGCATAATACTAATTCTCAATTGGTCTAATCACTTGTCAATTAACTGAATATACCTGTGAGTGCATATGATCCCATTGAGCTTTATCGTCTGATAGAGCACGTTCAAACACCTGATCGAGATCCACGTTTGGCAATAGGACCACTTGTTCGTGCCTTACAAGGGCCCAAATTCCAGCGCTCGTATTGACAATAATAGCAATCGTCAGTGCTATAGAAAACTAAGTAAAAAAAGACATTGTTTTATTTCATTAGAAACAGTAAATAAAACTAGTAGATAGATTAACGTAGCCCCCCAAACCCCTGAACCAAAGTCAATTAATACAATATGTATGTCTAATCTGAAGTACGATCTTTTGTTTTTCATTAATAAGATAAATTATTGATTAATTTATAAGTGATAACTAAAGTAAATCACGATTTAAGATTTCTTACAATTATGACTTGGCCACTGTTCGTGAAATCCAGAAATTGCCAAGTACACCATCCTATCACAGCTGTTATCAAGCCTATCACCAACAACGTTATCGCTGAACCGCATACATTGCTGGGTGCGAGGGACGAATATTCGTATAACTGATATATGAAATAACCGGCGCATACGCTTTCCACGATACCGCATACCTACGAGGAACAAAAAGGGAAATCTTGTGTTATTTACGTAGAATGAAGGTGCCGGTTTCATACATTCACCGACAATAACACGCACAGGCGATAAGAGATAATTAATAGTATCTAATCTTGTCGCTGAGCTCGTGGTAAATGTTAAAGATTTCAAGAAACAGAGGATAAGCTGTTCTCCGAATTCTCGTCTAATGACTCTACTAATTGCGAAATGTAATTTTTCGTTTATCTGCTAACATCGTTTCTTATGTAGTTCATTTTAACATTTTCATTTCGATTCTTAACAACTATCGTTTATTATATTATATCTGCTATTACTATATGTATGTATATCTGCAGACTCACTCAGTACAGCACGTTCATCATTCACATTTATGTCTTTATAGCGTTAGGTAAGAATAGATTTTGATATCGATATGATGACTATTATCTGATACGGATAATGCGATATCGATTTCATAAGCAAACGGCACAAGACTTTTCAATAGATGAATTACGAAGAAATCTACGATTCACATTACAAAATAACAGAATTAGAGTATCAAAACCTGTTTTTAATTTTCCTACTAATTAATCGCCTTTATTGTGAAAATTCTCTATTTGGAATCATTAGAATTAATAAATTTAAGCTAAAAAAGGGAAGACAATAGTAATTAAAATAAAATGTGAAAAAATGTAAAAGAGCGTCAAGAATAGTAAAATTGGCGCGCATCCAAGATAACGACAAATCGGAAGCTGGTCGTCAACTGTAGATCTTTAATAATAGAACTCTGAAGAAGATCGTATTATTTCGTTTCAAAATGAGAACTTGAATTAAAAAAATCAATTTCTTGGGCTGCGATCCTGAATCATAATTTATTGCGCACGAGCAAACGTACTATTCACTGTTCCGAGTAGTAAATAGCATGCACTTACACCAACTACGATAGCACCACCGATGAGAAAGTATTGTAAACAAGCTAACATCCCCATCACAAATTTATGTGTAAAACGAAGGTATCACACTTGAATTACATGAGCAGAACTGTAGCTAACAGGCAAAAAAAATCAAGACAATCGCGACTGACAATGAGTATTATTGAGCAACCGTCGCTACGGTGACCAGGCGCAAACCTATGAGCCGTGCCGTCATTGCTCGTAGTAGCACTGACGAGCCGCAAACGCAGCTGCTCGTATGCCCTGGTATGCCCTTATCGACAAGTATTTTCTGTGCATTTGCGGCTCGTATCGGTGTCGTATATAATTTGACACTAGAACATTTCTATTATTTTTTCTCTATCATTCTCATCGACGACTTTGCCTGTTGTCGGTTGAAATTTTCTATGAACGATCGTGCTGTACTTATCAAAGAGATTACGCGTGAAACAATGTCTCATGTAAATTTGGTTTGCACGGTCTATGATACCGATGTTAAAAGTGGTTGATCGTGTGATTAATGTAAAAAGGATGAAGTTTAAAGGGAGTTGTTTAAACAAAAGCCAACGCAAGACTCGTTTGCAAATATCATAGACCTCACCAGCGCCAGCGGAACTACAGAACTACAGTTCTGTTCACTCTGTTGATAAGCAGAACGTAAGCATGCGATTGATCGTTTGTAGTAAATATTTTAGAGACGATATTTTGCAGTAAACAGTTAAACACGATAAAGAAACATGGCTAATCCGAATCTAACTGATATGACAGAGGAAGACGCTGCTGATTTACAATTTCCGAAAGGTACGTTCTCTCCTTTGATTCAATAAAATAGAAGCAGAGGATGCTTACCTGTTTCTAACCTATAATCGTGACGTTTGTCATCATCGTTTTCGAAAACTGTATGTGTACGCGCGTATGTCTGACGACATTACACGTGCAAATACTATCCTGTACCTTTATGCGGCATGGTTACGATTATCCTCTTTCAGACTGCTCATCGAGTGTAACAGAAAAAATCGAGCATGAAGTAGAACTCGACGTGTCAGTCATAAAGGATGAAATCATTACCTCAGACCCAACATGCCACATTTGCAAATCTACCTTGATGGAGCCGTATGTTCGTTGTGCTATGTGTAATAACATGGAACTGTGTCCTCTTTGTTTTTCCAATGGATCAGAAATTGGCGATCACAGAAATGATCATGATTACATCATTATCAAGAACGAATTTCCTTTGATCGATGGGAGCGATTGGACAGCGAGACAGGAACTAGAGTTCTTAGATGTTTTACAGGAATGTGGTTTCGGTAATTGGGCTGACATGGCAAAAAGAATGCAAGGAAAATCTGCGGAAGAATGTAGAAATCATTATCTACAACATTACATTAACAATCAGACCCTACCAGGATTGCCAAAAATCAGAGAAACGAAAACAAGCTTATTTGGTTGTGAACCTATCCCTTATCTATATAAAATGCAAGACCTGGAAGAGCCACCACGGTTTGCACCGAATAGTCTTAACTGTAAGCTTTTGGCCGGGTATAATCCTGCAAGATCCGATTTTGAAATCAATTTTGACAATCATGCCGAATTATTGATCTCCGATTTGAATTATGACGAATTCGATAAAAAGGATAATAATTATGAATTAGGAGAAGCATTGCAAGTAGCTATAGTACAAGCATATAATAATAGGCTGAAGGAGCGTATGAGGAGACGGAAAATTATACGTGATCACGGGTTGATCGCGTTTAGAAAAACTATATCGTGGATACAACGGTACGAGTGCACTATAACCAGAACGCTTGCAGAAAGACTGTTAATTTTCATGCAATTACTCAAGGGTGTAGAATTCGATTATTTTATGGAAGGCTTGCACAGGGCAGGGGAACTCAAACATTATCTGAGCAAACTCTTTGAATTTCGCAGCAGTGGGCTAAAGCACTTCCATAGCGTACCCATGTTCCAGAAGTTGAACAAAATTAGACAAGAAAACGAGAAGGAAAGAAAACAATATTTAAATAACCCTGAGTACAGTTGGAAGAGCCTAGCGCCAGGTGGTGCAATTAACTTCAGTAATCCCATTTCGAACGCGATGTCACAACGAAAAGCCGCGCCACCACTCGCAATCAAAGGGCTTCCAGGATACGAGAGATTGACGCCAGCTGAGAAAGAACTTTGCTCAGTTACTCGTATAATACCTACTAATTACCTTGACTTCAAACAAATTTTAATAACGGAAAGCAAGAAGAGCGGTTCCTTGAAATTAGCACAAGCCCGGGTTTTACTTAAGATCGATGTAAATAAAACGCGGAAAATATACGACTTTCTTACGGAGAAAGGATATATTAACAAACCAAATCAATGACGTACAGTATAGTCTAGTGAAATTATGCAAATTTTATATGTATCTTCTGATGAAATTGTGATATTACATGTTAAGATTTATAAATAAGAAAGTAGAATAAGAATTTAAAAATCGACTGACAGTAATAATGTGTGCACGACGAGATGGCTCTTGAATTCCATTGATTTTTATGACGGATAGGGGCCATCGAGTCATTCGCGCACGGTATATGTAATAATGTGTAAAAAGTAATATAACAAAGAGTAAAATGTGCACACTAATATATGATCCGTATGATTACATATATGTATCTATATAATACTATTTTTGAGTTTTGTACCGTGTACACCTGATATATACATACGCAATAAGATGTATTATTTTATAAATCATGATTAATAAAATACATATTTCAAATTAACAGTAATCGATATTTAATAGAAATTACGTCAGCATCGTTAATTATATATTTAAAGACAATCATCATCAATTAGCAAATATTCCATACGCACTTTTTATCTTTAGAATTCGAGAACGCAGAAACGCTGTTAATCTCGGAAGTGTCGATGTTGTTGGAGCATAGGAAAGCACAAAACGAATCGGCGGAGGAGGAACAAGAATTCTCTGAAGTTTTCATGAAGAGTTTGACTTATACGAATAGATTTCGCCGTTTTAAAAACAAGGAAACCATCGCTGCCGTGAGGAAGTAAGTAACACTTCTTATTTGGAGTGCGCACACTGCGAATTGTTGTTTCTAATCAACATTATTTAAATATTTATATTTCAGTTTACTTATGCAGAAGAAACTTCATAAATTTGAGCTGGCGTCGCTCGCGAATCTCTGTCCAGAAACACCGGAAGAGGCGAAAGCGTTGATTCCCAGTTTAGAGGGACGATTAGAGGATGAGGAACTCAGGACGATACTGGATGACATACAAACAAAGCGATCTCTTCAGTATTAAGTTCTAAGCGTGTTTCACTGTGATCATTTTATACGACTCTCAATAAAAAAAATACATTTTCTCTCATAATAATATACGATTAATTATTACATGCTTTCGTTTTTTAATGCTTGTAGTTAAAATTCCTCCTTGAATGGATAACAATCCGAAGTGTCCATAACACCTACGTATTTTCAAAAATTTGTTTTAAATGCGTAGAAGCATACGCATTCTAACAAATTTTCAAGCGTACATTTCCTGCGTCTAATCTAAATATTTTTTCCTATTTTGAAGCTAAACTTATGATAAATAGTTACGTAATCCCAACAATCGGTGATGACCTAAAGGTATCAGAACCAGCTAATCTTACTAACGGCAACCGCATATTACCACCGGATAATTGCATATGTGTATGCAGTTGACTGCACGCGAGAATGGATCCTCATTATCACCGCGCTATACATATATTCGTTGAGCAATCGTTAAAGGTGTCCGATCACGTTCCCTCTTTTCGCTCGTTTTATAGAATAAATTTTCCCGGTAAGAATGAATGGTGTGTGACGTATAATTTTATGCATAATATGATGCGACTAACCCCTGTGCTTGTTCTAACTTATTTTATGTTTTTATGTAGTAATTACGATCGGGCGTTAGGAGATAAAAAGGATGATGTACGTAATTGTGACACGATTTGAAAATAAAAACTCGATAGTGCTACGTCCGAATCGTTGACAATTACACATTTTTTAATGAAATGCTACACAGGCTATTAAAGGAAAAATGACAAGACAGGGGAACCGCTGGTTGCAGTGGTTGCAGTCATGTAAGTACTATATTATACATCGACGACTGTTTTATTGTCATGTGCTACAGTTGGTGACGACATGAAGTTGTAAATACCATGTCAATATGATACAGTTTTTGGGAATACATATTACCAATAATTTTGTACAATGCTATGCGTATACTACTGCTTCGTTTGCTTAGCAATAATTCGAAATTAATACAGAAATTATTGAACAATGCAACAGTAAACGCGACAAGACAGAACACTGTGCCATCGACGTGTCTCTTTTCTTAGCACGAGGAGTGATACGCTGTCTCCAACGCGCGTCGAATCTCTCTTGATAAGATAAAGAAACGAAGAACTGTTTTCATTATGTAAAACATATTTTTACACACATGAATTATAATGTGTCTTGGGAAAAGTCCTTGCGAAAATTACTAATTCATGATTAGTAAATGTACGCAACAGAAGGTCGTTATTCATATTTGTATTCGTGTTCATTTATAGTACGTACGTTTAAAGAGCATGTCCAAGGACGTAATTTTCCATCGTTTTTCGTGCTAACGTTTGCGAAAATGAGACACAATCGAATTGTACACTGTCGGCCGTTCCCCTTTATCGAAGCTTCCAATCAACATCAAAATAAGGACTGAGGCTATATTTAGAGGATACATCAGTTTCATACACGTTCCTCGTATATTTGCTCTATTCGTTGTCCATTTACGTTAATCGCGTGTGTACCATTGAGGGTGAATTCGCCATAGGCGGTACACGATAATCGGTCCTTCGATTACTCCCACGAAGAGGAGCCTTTTAAGATAATTACAATAACCGTAAATCGTGTGCTGCTACAGTAAACTGGAAGAAAACTTGGACTTATCGCGCGAGCCTTTCCGACACTTACACAAGTAGTAAGATAGTAGAAATCGAATTGATTAAGAAAATAACGTTATCTGAACGGTTGCAAACTGATCAGATAGGTAGCTGTGTAGAAAGATTATCTCTGGAGTCTATTTAATGGTATTTATGTCGTGCTGGTTAACGCGTGAAAATATATACAGAAGAGTTCTATAATAATTCGATCTTGGTCTCATTAGGTAATCCTAATTATCGTGATATTTTAGGCTTGCTAGTTATAGCGACGTTTAATGTGTATTAAGTAATATAAACACGTTGTATTTCCTACATGCCTTGGACTTCTACGTGTTGCAATACTACTGAGATCATTAAAGATATGTTGTATCGTACTTTGTAGACTATAGGGATTTCGTAGCTTGCGATCATGTAATCATAATATACAAGACCGCGTGGGACACGTTTCTAATCACTGGAGTTGGTACATACTATTTCTTGGCATTAACGCTGTTGTCTTTTCATCTTGGTTGGATCAGAAAAATTAATAAAGGAAAGAAGATGCGAGAAGAAATTTTTTAATGCTAGAACGATGAAACTTCATCAGAAAATCGAAGAGTTACATTAGAAATATCGTACGGTGAGCCGCAAGGTATGTCGTGGAAGTAATTGTAAAGCATACTCTTTGTACAACTCATATTTCGTAGTTTCTTCAATCTAAGAACCATGTCGATGGCTGCTCCGGAACATTTTCTGGAAATTGTCTGGTGAATGATCTCGAAATAGCTAGTGTTCTCGAAAGCGGAGCCTATGACGAACTCACAGAAACGGTCGACAAGGCTGTGTACAGTCCATACCGGCCAATCGATGGAATCAATTTGCATAATGTATACACGCAAAAGCTTATGTTCCACAATACTCTTCGCGGTACCGCTGTTACGGTAGTTGTTTTCCTCGTGATACGGAAGGCAAGCAATGGCTTACACGCATCTGTATGCGATGCGATTAAAATTCTTGATAGAATTTCTGCGGTACGAAAGAAGCGTTCAACGAGTGAGAATTTACTCAGTAGTTAACAAGCTGTACTAAATAGTCGGATGATAATATTACGAAGGCTACACGCAGGAGAATCGAGCTAATAAACGTTCCCGTAATGTGTTCGCTTATTTGTAGGTATTATGTACATGGATTTACATTTATTTATCCTTTCTTTTCCCATCTTGCTATCATGATTCTCGTTATATCCAATTTCTTTTAATCTGATGATATGTTGACCAAGTGTAATACAAGCTTAAGTCTATTTATTGGGTTTCAATGTTAATATTTCCTCAAGTGACATGCATTTCTTGATTTACGACAACGTTCGCTGCATGTGGATCGGTTTAGCTCGATGGCTTTCCAATTTGTCGATGTAATTACTTATTGTTTAATGCCTTCTCTGAACGAATTGAAATCAATAAAGGCTAGTCGTTAGCAAGCTTCCTATCGATTTAACAGCGTAATTAGGTTTTTCTGTGTATTCGCTATAAAAGTTCCACTTAACAGATATGTACTTCTTCATTTGATAGAAGACTCGATGACACAGAATATTCGATTACAGATTTAAAACGAGGAGTGTATATTTACATCTATCGAACTGGTCAATGGAAAAAGAAAATGCGAAACGGAAAGTGCTATTATTTTAGTAGTAAACATGACTCGTGGTGCATCGGCCGTGCAAGGTAATTCTCAATCAAGCAATGCCGCGGGAGTTTCGTTTGCATTCATTCGATCGGTCGAGTTTCGTGATTGGTTCAGCAGGGGCTACCGAACGATGCCGGACTTGGTCGTAGACGGCCGAACGCACGAAGCGCCAGCGCCGAGCCTGAGCGGAGCGCTCAGGTCAAAATATATTCAGTATATTCTAAACAGCGCACGACGTTGCTGAGACGTTTTGTTTGCGCGCCCGGATCAGTGATTACTCGCGGTGGATCGGAACATTTTGAATATTAAAAGTAAGGTTCCCTTCGTTGAATCAGTGACCGCGATTGCTACTATCCTGTGTGTACACCTTTCGAAACTGAAGTAACAGTTGGCATAGTCGATCGTGACAAGTCGAATCGCTCTCGGAATTGGAGTTTTAATTCGGAAGGGAGAAACAGCGCGACAAATTGCAGAAGACACGAGAGGAGAGAGAGACTGCCAACCGTGAGTTCGGTACTATACGCGCCCGCGATCCGCACTTAACCTTCTCTCTCTCTCTCTGTCTACTTTCCTCTGTTTTTCATTCGATTCCTCTTCTCGCTCGTTTGTTCTCTTTCTTTCCTTTTACTTCTCCGTTTCGTCTTTCGTATGCACATATACACGTTTCCCCCGGTCAATTTTCTCTCTCGCTCCATTTTGAACGTCTCATCCCTTCTCTAGCTCCCTCTCTCTTTCTCTCTCTCTCTCTCGTTTGCTCCGACGTCGACTCGTGAGGTCAGTGCCTGCTCGATCGGATCCTGAGCAGGAACACACACCGTAGGAAGAGGACGATCTCCCTTGTCGCGAGACTTGGAGCCACACACGCGCGCTCGCCACGCATGCAGCCACGCACTTTCCGAAACGGGGAAACGAAAAGAAAACGAAAAGGGTTTCTCGTCCTTACCGAAAACAGTTTTTCTCTGTCGACCCTTCGTGAAAAAACAGTATCAGTGAAACACCCGTGATCCGAGCGTTGGGCAGGGATGAGGTTCAAAAGTCGGCGGGTCACCCCGTGTGTGCATTCGTCGACGCGGCGCGACATCGGCGACCAGTGATACGCGAATCGTCGCCGATCGAGCAATGAAAACGTTCTCGTCCGATCGAAAGTATATACGCATGTATTACTCCGTTCTGTGGTGATCGACGTGTGAGACGGCTCCCGTATCTCGTACGTTATATGTATAATCTATCAAGTGCAGGAAACTCGTGCTCATTATCTATAGCTACATATACTTTTCTCGCGTCTCGTTTTTCTATTTCACTCCTCGTCTCCTTTTTTCTGTTTCTGTGTCTCATTTCGTTTTCCTCATCCCTTCTACTCTTTCTCTCTCTCTTTTCTTTCCTTCTCTTCTACTCCGTCTCCTATCTCGCGTTTCACGTCTCCGTCTTTCGACCCTGCAGCTTCTGTTGTCGCGTTTGCTGTTGCCACTCTTTTCATTGACCGAAAAAGAGGAACTACGCGAGTGTGATATTACGGGGTAGAACGGGAAAACTCGGCGTGGGAAGGAGTCGACGATTTGAAGTTTGTGTTTTTGTTTATGTACTTAGAGACGGACTGGCCACCCGCGACTTTGAAATATCGAAGCGAATCGTGAATAGAAGCAACCGGCTCCTCTCTGGAATACATCTGTTTTCACCGATCATTGCGAAGACCAGAGGTAAGTACTTTTTTTCCTTCATCCATTTTTACATCGCAACGACATTCTTAAACCCGTTGCGTCTTACTCTCACTGACTCGTGACGCATTAAACTGCGTGCTACGTGCTGTACCTATATACGTACACGTGAAAAAAAGTGCCAGTTGTAACGAAACAGCTGGTGTCATCACGTATTTTCGTGCTTTTGATTCCCGTCGATTGTCGACGTTTTTTTATTCAGATAGAATCGTGCTTCTTCTAATGTAAAAGTTACCTACATTGCATGAAGATTATATGACGATTAGCAACTTTTTAAGAAGATGAATTGTTTTCAGAGTCAAACAATATATTAATACGTGTCTTTGCTTCGATTTACTTAGGGCGATTCGTTCGCGCGTTATTGACGTTGGACGAGAACTATGAAAGTTAATAGAGCCAGATATTATTCTTCCCGTTGACGTATCATCCACCTGACTCTTATCAGAGCACATGATGCATCGGCGCGCGTGTAAATACGAAGCACGTTAACCTGAATGGGAAATCTGCAAGTATTTCGTGTTTTCTTTTTTCTCCGACGATAGATTTGAATACAGTCGGATCCCCGCCGCGGAACGTATGTTCTTTTATCACGCGAACCAGAATTACTGCTATGCAGATTCTTTATTATTCGCCTAACCCGAATCCAGCAGCATCGTCGTGACGCTTTTGTCACGCAAATGCCCGTAGTGCCCGTGGAATTATTCTACCGTCCATTGTTGCTATTAGGTTCGCGTAGTTCTATTTCTATCGTGGCAGATGTTCACGCGCGCGAGCCTGTGTACATGCAAATATTATCGGGCCACTTTGTTGTGAATGAAACCGCGGCGCACTTACTAGTATCGCCGTTGTCACTAATAATAAATAGCTGGTGGAACTGGTGCTTCGAAGCGCAAGTGTCTGTAAATACGTTCCACCTGGGGAACAAGAATTAAGAAAAATTCAACAGTTTTCTTATTGGATTCGATTGACGTGTAAAGTGTGGGTGGAAATTGTTCTTCTCTTTTTACGGGCGACCAGATGTAAGAGGACACTTATCGATCGATTATTTCTGAGCACTGTCACTGGCATCCGTCACGCAGGCGAGCTATGTAGACGCGACACGCGCTTAATATTGAGCAAGCGTCAAGACCGGTAGGGAGTCGGAACATCATATATCGTCGGTCGAACGTTGTTTTGACGCATCAAAGCAATGAATAGATTTTCTAGTAAATTTAATTCTTGTTCCAGGAATTCGTAAACTTCTAACGTATTCCATTTATCATTTTAATTCACAAAAAAAAATACAAGTTTAGGAAAACAACAAATCTAAAAGATAGAGACATGAAGAACTCGTCTTGACGAATGTCTTAAATAAAAAACATATGGTCACTCTAGTGATAACTGTTATCGCGAGATCGCATGGATTCGAGGAGCGACAACACATTTTAAGGAATTTGTGTATTTAGAAAGAGTTTAGATTTTTCAAATAAGTAAGTTGTATAAAATATGACGTTCCCTTTTGCTGACGACTTTCAACCCCTGTTTGTAGAATTGTTGACCTACTTAGGTATCTGACGGTCGACGAATGGAGAAAAGTTAATATATTGTTAATTTAAGATGCAAACGATTCGTACGGCATTGATACAGAGACGAGAGTTATTAGTAAGAATTAGCATACAGGAGGAAGGAAGAATCATCTCGGATTTGTTTTTCTTATTTGAAATTTATGTGCTCAGTAATATTCCAATAAATCTGTTCGCGGGATGAATACGAAATAATTTTCTTCTCTTAAATCAAACTTGTTTGCTACCGAGATCTGATTGTAACGTTTCTGTTAGCAGAATATGTATCATCACGAATGAATTTCGTTATATCTCCGACATTCTCTAACGGATTCACTTATGCACTCGTACCAACGGTGATTTAACTCATATTCATTTCTTATTCCTTTATTAATGAGAAATAGGTCGCCCTTACTCGGCGTGGGAGGTATAAATGATGTTAGAAATTATTCTTTCAACTCTCATACATCTTATTGTTTCAACTGTACTCATTTCTTATCGCTCTTCTTAATTCCTAATCTTTCCAGAAGTTATCAATCTATCGATAAATCCGAGATAAACTGAGATAAATTCTATAGAACTTGGAAGTAGGTAACTCTTCTGGTAACAAGGTTCGAAAAAGAAAACGAGAAAAGCTAAAGGAAATGCTGTAACAGTTTGCTTGTTAAAATTATTTATTTCTCGTTAATGTGTACGTATTATGGTACATCATGTCAGCAAGATGTATTGAAATACATATGTGCATGCGTATGTATCTAGGTATCCTGTTTCTCATGTATCTACCGTATTACATCATTAGCGGAGATAGGGGAGGTTTTGCTGCACTAATACTTTATTCTATTATAATGTTGTAATTAACCGTGCTTAATTATTATAATTTAGGGGTAATGATAGACGACAACAATAATATATTTCGCCATGGGAGTAATTCAAATACCATACTGTTGAAAATCTAATCCACGTAATAACCCAAAACCCAGTCAATCCAGAAATTTCGTTCGTGTTAAACATATTCATATTACTTGACGTGATACCGTGCTATTACGTACTATTACGATTAAGGAAATAGAATAACAAGCCTAATCAGAAACGTAATGCATCGATGGAATCTTAAATGCGAGCCAAGAAATTATACTTCAACGTTCGTGTAATTAATTACAAAAAAGACATCTGCTATTTCAATTTCCGATCTCCATGTACGCATCGATTTTTTAGTTACTCTAGATGGGAAGGAGGTACATAAAAAGAATGATTCATGGGCCCGTTCCAAGTGAACGTCGCGGTGGCAACAAGTGTCTCATCTCACGAGATCAAACGGCGTGTTTACTTCGTTCGAAGCAACGCGAATTTTACTTCTGACTACTGCGCTCGCCGCGCTGGACTGAAAGTTTCGCGAAAGCGCGCAATGTTTTAATCACAACCGCATAAACAAACTTGCGGAGATTGTCTTATCTCGCGTAACGTCGTTCGATCGTTCTCACGAGCATCGAACGCGTGGGAAGCTCAAGGTCCGAGTCGCGTCGTGTCTATTAAATTGATTTCTATACGATCCATATACATATATTTTGGCGAAGATCGTGGCGTTGCACGTGATGCACGTTGGAATTCGAACCGCGACGAATCTTGCCGGTCACAAGGATTGCATCATATGCGCGACGATGCGACGATGTTAAGGTCCTTTCTGGGTATATCATTTATTTACTCCGCGAGACGGTTGGTATCACCGGGACGGGCACCGTGATCCAGAACCGCGGCTAACTGGAAAAAAACTACTTACAGGAAATTATGTAATTAGCCGGACATATTATACCTCTCACGGTGTACATGTACGTACGTGTACATATTTACCTACATGCCTATCACCCGTGATAGGAAAAAATTCGAACCGGAGACACCGGTTGCGCGTGATCCTATTCTGTCAAAAACTGGCTTAAATATTGCCGAACTCTTTGGGAAAACAGTCAGCATTTTGTCTAAGCAAACTCTGTTTTTCTTTAAAATGAGAAATTCTTCATACATCAGGTTAAATAGTTTATTCTCTATGTTTCAGTGATAAGAAGTTAATAAGTAGTCTAAATAAATACATTGGTGATTTGCAGTCGTAGAAATTAGATAGAGTTAGGGGATAGCTGTTGATGTTTAGGATCTTTGTCTTCTGATCTATTTTATGAAGTTAATACTTCTCATATCTCATAAGATAATACTCATAATCAGTGAAATACTTCTTTCACTTACAACACGTTCAAGCGATTCGAACACGAGGAAAGTTTCATAACCATGCCTCTGAACCGGTTTGAACAAAGTTCAGTAGCTTGTAACACGACGGCTACGAAATTTGCAAAAGGTCATTGTCAGACAGGGTCAGTAGGTGAATTCTATAGGATGGTGTAGCGTGTTGTTCCTCTGTCTGAAGTAGACTCTCGCTACTGACGGATCGCTCGGACTGGAACGCTGAGGACGAGCTTGCTGACGCTAGAACAAACATCGGTGGCTGCGGTCGCATTAGTCAGTCACATCTGTCAATAATTATTATCATCGGGCACGTAGCGGCAGGCGACGTTAGTCAAGAAACTGCGAGGCGAGGCGGCGATATCAACGACCCGTAGATACAACGTCGTTGAGACAGAGAAGGAACGATTAACGAGTGTGAGAACGGGAGAGGAGCGAAAGAACGGGCCGGCGATGAGTCGGGGAAAAATGTACGATGGAGAAGAGTAGGAGAGTCTGCGAGAAGCGACGTCGGATTATTTATCCATAGTGACTTATAGATCTCCGTGAGGTTTGTTCCGCGCACGTTCTCGGTATTATCAACCGATCGAGAATTTCGAAGGAATCTCTCTGTCGCGCAATCGTCGTACCGACTTTATTCATCTCTCAGTGTCATTCACGCGGATGTTGAATTATTGAAAGTGCACCGCGTCGACGTTGTTATCGATGCGTGCGTATGAACGTCTACGAGATGTTTACGCGCGATAAGCAATACGGAACGAGGAAAAACTGGTAGCTGGTTGGTCTAGGAAACGATCGGTCAGACCGTTTCTCCCGGCTCGAGGTGCAACGTGAATTCTATGAAGCGCGACTACGTCCGGACCCGTTCGACGATATTTCCGTCCCACAGCGAAACGAAATCAATCGGAAGACGTTCCCCGTTTATCTCGTTGTTATGCATTTTCCGTGGAGGGAACAAACTGTCGACGCGATTTTTCAACCAGTACTTTACTCGTAATGAAGCATCCGTTTTTCTATCGGTGCGCTGGCACGTTGATAGTCTGTAGAACGTGCTCGTATATGGAGAAATCAGGATTTTCGTCGTAAAGCTAGCAATTTCTACGCTCGTTTCAGCGAAATAACATTCTCGCTTTTTCACTTGATTGCTTTCGGCGAACTTTCGATCGTTCCAAGGAGAATGAAAGATAGTGCGAGGCGAATAAAAGAAAAGAA